TAGGAGGCAAAGCTGGACGACTAGCAATTCTAGGCCAGCTTGGTCTACACGGCACAACCTTCTCTCCACACCACTGCACCCCCAAAAAAGCAACAGTGATGTTAGCCTCTGACTCCTTCTTGAAGGTGAATGTGTGTGTGTGTGTGTGTGTGTGTGTGAGAGAGAGAGAGAGAGAGAGAGAGAGAGAGAGACAGAGACAGAGACAGAGACAGAGACAGAGAGCTAGGTGGCTGCTCCTGTGTCTAGCTTGTATATTGTAAGGGCCAACTCAAGAACACTGTAAGACGGGTCACACAGAACCCCACCTGAACCTCTATGCTACTCAACTTCTACTTACGGAATTCCTTGAAAGTATTTCCAGAATGAATCTGGGCTAGGGTCAAGCAAGCGTAACCAGACACCTTGGTCACAAGTTGCAAGTACTCCGGATGTTTGGGGGAGGGACACATACACACTTGAGAGAGAGAGAGAGAGAGAGAGAGAGAGAGAGAGAGAGAGAGAGAGAGAGAGAGGTGTTGCCTGGGGCTCTGTGCATGCAAACTATAAGCTCTAACACTGAGCTACATCTCCAGCCCCAAGCATGTTTTACAGTGCACTAACTTGCCCATTTTTATTTCGCATTAGAGGCGCAAGTCATCTACAAACACATCAACAAAAAACTACGGCAAGTAGAACGTAAAATTATTAATACTTCTTCCTTTGGGTTATGAAGAATAAAATTCCAGGTACAGCTCAGTGTTAGGGCCTACTGAACATACTGAAGACTTGTGGTTCAATCACAGCACAACAAATGAATTACAAATTTCTACCATCTCCTGAAATAGGTAAAATGCTGTATTTTCATGCAAAGAGAATAGCTATAAAGATGTAGGATATAGTATTAAACCTATTTTTCCAATTTAATATTTTTTAAAATTTATTTTTGAGGTAGGGTTGCACTATAGAGCGCACGCTAGCCTCAACCTACCCAGTGATGGGATTACAGTGTGTACCACCATGCTTGATGGTGTTAACATTTTTTAAATGGAGCACAGCAAGTATGTCTTCAACATAGGCAAAACCCTGGGTTCAGTTCCCAGACACTGAAATAAATAACCAAGTAAAATGGAAAGAGTGATTACTACCAAAACCTGGTCATCATGACACTGGTGGGGGAGGGACATAAAGCACTTCTGACTGCTAACACCACTGATGAGAATCAGAGTTACCAGTTAGAACTACCATCACCCTCCCAAAGCAGACAGACACTCTACACCGAAACTCACGGACTCCGTACTCCTATTCATTTTCCTACCTTCCCCATAGATGAAGACACTAGTTAACATCCTCAGAAAGAGATTATTCATCCTTTACCCAAAGTTCTCCTTTCCAGGGTCAACTACGGTCTAAAAATATTAAATGGAAAATTCCAGAAATAAATAAGTCATAAGCATTAGGTAAGGTGTCTTGTAGGATATTGTACTTGTTCCATTTTTATCAGAAGATACTATTGTCCACCTCTTATTGTGCCTGCTATTTAAATCAAGCTTTATGACAGGTGTGTATGTCTAGGGAAAACATCAGGGCATACCCCTGGTTCAGTGCTATGTGGGAGGGTGACATTAAGAAAATCACAGCTGGAGTTCCAGTCTCCAGGCATCTCCAGGGGGTTGAGTCGATGGGAAGAATGGATGCCTCCCATGTTGCCACTGACCACTAACCTCGACCGTGATTAATCTGCAAAGACAGGGATTTTAATATATGCCAAAGGTAAACGTTTAGTGGATCTTTTTACTTAAAGCAAACGTGTTTTAAACTGTTAAAACCACTGGCTTCTTAAGAAAGAAATGTTTTCTACTGTATTCTAACTGACAAGTTGACTATTAAATACATGCAAACGGCTGGGGGTGGAGTTCAATGAACAGTACAGCACCTGCCCATCATGCACAGGGCTTGATCTTTAGACCCCCTCCCCACAAAGAAGCGCAAATAGAATGCCTTTTCTGTAGTTGTAACTAAAAGAGTGGAACAGCTAAAATGTTATTGGACAGCCACAGTTAGTAATCACATAAGCAAAATATACCCAGATCTACATTTAACTTGGGAGTTGCCTGACAATGATTTGAGAATAATAAAAGTGTCAGTATAAAGTTTTATAGGCTGATTTAGCTCACTAGGGTAAATGAAACACCGTGATGGGGTGGGGGAGTGCAATCAGAAAACAAAAGTCCGGAAAGAAGGAGAAAAACAACAACAAACAACTGTTATGGACTCTTCAGTCGCACGTCTATACAACACCGATATCCAGAACTGACGTTTCATTATTCTCCAGCGGACATACATATTTAATATACATTCTTAGGTGCTAAAGCTCTTAATCGGATGCGCCTCTAACCCAGGGTATTTTAAGGGTATTTATTAGAAGACTGTGAACATTTTTGCTTTGCTTTCAAAGAAAGCAAACCCGACTCTCCACCCTTAAAATTCTTTTAAACAACCCCTGACAGAAGGAACCACATACAGAGAGCAGCACAGGACACAGCCTGCAGGCTCTGTGGGTTTAGAAGCCAGTGGTGTTTATACTGCCATTCACAGCCCTTCCTGGCAGCCTTGAGGCATGCCCATTAGCTAGTAAGCCTCTGAAAGGGTCAGCTTGTCCCAAACTGGAATTTCCACTTTGGAGAAGGAGCACAGAGGTAATGACGGGCCTTCACTATTTCTCCAGACTTGGGGCAGAATTCCTATTTCTGCTGATGGGGGGGAGTGGGGGTGGGGAGGGGTCAAGATGGTAAAAACTTCCTGTGGCTCCTGCCAGCAAAACGGGGCCATAAGAGGCCTCCTAGGTCTGCCTTCTGGAGAAGCATCCAGGACAGGAACATAACCTCAACAGTGCTGGTGAACAGGTTCCTCCAGGCAACGCAGCAGGGAAAAGAGCCTCCAACACTTCAGGCCCTAGTCTCTGCGTGGTCACTACGGTCACTGATAATTTCGTTGGGTTTCTTTCAGATTTAACGACGATACCTAAAGTCCAGACAGGTGAACTGATTTGCCCAAGTTCGATCCTGGTGTGGCTGTTCACTTACTCTGGAGTGATGCCTCCCCCCCACTTTCTTTCTCTTCCTTGTTTGGGCCCCAGATAGTGAGCCTCAACTGGGCTAGGGATGAATAAATCTGTTTCAGTGCCCACAGCCAGCTTGGCACGTCACAGCTGCACATCATCTGTGTATCACGTCCGTAGCTCAGACATCACTTTCTCATCTGAGTAATGTTAACAAACACTAATGGGAATGACACCCCAAAGGTCACGTTACACGCCACTGCATGATAAAAGAATAAACTGGCACTCCATTGCCTGCCGCGGCAGTCTCCGCCCCTTTTCTTTAACAACAAAAAAAGCAATCTACAGGAAGTGGAATTGGCATGTTTTCTTTTTAATAATTTAGAAGCGCATTTTTTCTACCTTCAGAAGTTGTGGCGAGTATGTAATGAAGCATTTTAAAAGTAACTTCATTCTAATTTCTTTAAGATCTATTAAGCGCCCTGGCAATCCTTGCCTTATAAAACTCAGGCATCATGGAGAGGCACTTCAAGAGCGAGCTTAAACCTTCTGTTCTGACAACCTCGAGGTTTCTAGCGTTACTTCGCTGCAAAGACTTGGAAGCTAAGGATCCCTGGCATCTTTTAAGTTGGGGTAGAGTTTCCGCCAAAGCACGAAGAGTTACATTTCTAGGAACTGTATCAAATCCGGTGCGGTATAACGACTACTTGTTTAAAAAACAAAAAAAATCCCCACCCACCCCAAGCCCGACCGACAGGAACACAAAAGTTAGTCCCGAAGTGGTACCGACAAATATTTCATGCATAGACGTGGGTTTGGTTACCTGGGTGGGGGAAACAATAGCAGGTGAGGCTATGGTGGGAGAATTGGAGCTTCGGTGCCCATTGACTTCTGGAAGAAGAGGCAGGGGGTCGTGTTTCACGGAAACCACCACCACCGCATCCACAGGTTCCGAGGGAGGACGGATACAAAGTCTTTTGGGGGAAGAAGGGCCGCAGATTTCCCCGGACCCGAACACTGACTCGTACAGTGCGCGCTTGGGCGCAGCCTCGGATTTCACGTCGGGCCCGACCTGGCTGTCTTTGGGGAGGATATACGTGTTCCCCAGCGAGGGCGGCTGGGGGCGGTGGTGGTGGGAAGGATGGGTCGGGGGATGGTGGGAGTGGTGACGAGCTGACCCGTTCAGAGCCTCGGTATAGCAGCCCTGCGGGGCCGGGGAACCTAGCTTGGTCCCGATGCCCGCGATGCTGTTGAGCGTGGCGATGGACACCGCGCCGATGCAGTGGTTAGTGTAGGTCTTGGACAGCTTGGCTGCCTTGGAGAGCATCTGCATCCTGGTGCCCAGCAAGTTCTTGCCTATGGCTTTGTTCTCGTACCAGGTCACATCGCCCTCGCTGCAGTGGTCCCGGGGCCGCTGGAAGAACGCCTTACAGAGGGGATTGCGCTTCGACAGGTACTTGACAAAGCTGGCATAGGGACAGAACTCAGTGCCCGTCTCGTACATGCGCGGCAAGTTCTCTTCGTCGCTGCTTTCCGCCCGCTTCTTACTCCAGGACGAGGAACGCGACTTGTGGTAAGGCCCGAGCGACTTGAAGTAGACGAACTTGCGACCGTCCTCGTCCATGGCCAGCCCGAAGGAGTCCTCCTCCAGCTCGCGCTGGTTCTCGCGGCCGCGCGTGCAGAAGTACATGCAGGTCTCGAACCAGACCTTGTTGAGCAGCCCAAAGGGCGTGTTGGTGCTGAAGACGCTGGAGGTGTAGAGCTTGCGCAGGTCGGCGCGCGTGATGGCTTGCTTCTGCACCACGGGCCCCGCGCCCTGCTCCTCGAGCTTGCGGATGACTGCGGCTAGCGTCAGGTTGGCGCTGCGCAGCTCGGGGTCCTTGGTGAGGTCGAGCGTGCGACAGTACGGGGGCTCGTTGAGGTAGCGGTTGAGGGAGCTGCGGATGCTGATGAGCGAGGACTTGCTGTAGAGCTGGCCGCTCTTGGAACGGGCCTCGGCGTAGAAGGAGCGCAGCACGCGGCACAGCGCCCCCTTGTCCATGGTCTCGAAGTCCGGGCTCTGAGCCTTTTCGCTCAGGTACTCCCGGAAGATGCGCACGGCGTAGCGGGTAGCCAGCCGGGTGTTCTCGCTCAGCCGGGCCCGCTCGGGGCGCTGCAGCACGTCGGGGTCCAGCTCCGCGCTGTCCCCCGGCGGCCCCGCGCGGGCCCGGGGAGCTAGCAGACGCGGCGGCGCCTCGGGCTCCAGCGCGGCGCTCTGGTCCATATGGATCATATGGACCGGCTCGGGCTCCAGCTCCTCCCCGGCCGAGTCCTCCGGCTCCAGGGGCTCTTCCCAGTCCATCCCCATCTCCTCCTCTTCCTCCTCCTCCTCGTCCTCCAGCCCCCCACCTCCGTCCTCCTCCTCCTCCTCGTCCCCCGTTATCTGCACCTCCTGGATCTCGTCCTCCTCCTCCTCCTCCTCTTCCTCCTCCTCCTCCTCGCCCGCGCTGCAGTAGTGCGGGCGGCCGTGGCGGCGTCCGCGGCCCCCGGCCCCGCGCTCGCCCTCGCCCCGCTCCCCATTGTTCTCCGCCGCTGCGGCGGCGCTGCCGCCCGCGCTGGTGTTACAGTCCCCGCTGCCAGGCATTCTCGCCATATTGCCGTCTCCCTGCCAGTCCTCGGGCAGGGCGCATGCGCTATATTGGACCGCAGCGCTGAGAGCTTTTGTGTTTAATGACCTTCAGCTACCGGGAGGCAAAGCCGGGCTCTTAAAGGAGCCGCGCTCCAATTGTCATTCCCGAGCGCCACTCGGGAGGGGCGAGGGGATGCCAGGGAGGGGAAGTGGGGGGTAACTGTGGCCTGGAGAGGGTAAAAGAGGGAGCCCAGTGGGACCTTCGTCCTCCCCCCTAGCCCGATCCCCACTTCTAGGAAAACTTTGGGGAAAAAACAAAAATAGGAAGGGGAGGGAGAGCTGTCGGTGGGGGCGAAACACTCCCAACTTACCCTCTAGCGGAGCCGGCGCGCGGGCCCTGGCGGGCGCGAGGGAGGGCCGGCGGGAGGGCGGGGCGGTGTCGCTTCCCTAGGTAATGCCGGAGGAGCAGTGCCCCCTCCACCGCCCCCTCATTGCCCCCCGGAGCCGGGGGATCCGGGCGGCTGCTGCAGTGTGCGGGCCGCGGGTGCTGCTGCGAGGAGCCGGTGTCCGGGACCGCCCGGAGCAGGCAGGTTAATGAGCTGGGCGGAGGAGGCTCCGCGAGGCCCTGCACCCTCTCTGCGCCCGCGGCCAGGGCGCAGCGGGCGAGGCTTGGGAGCGGGATGGGGCTGGCGGCAGCGGCGGCTCCCCCACCTACTTGCTGGCGGCGAGGCGCGGGGGCCTGGGGCCAGCAGCGCGGCTCCCAGCTCCCATCCCGACTCTTGCTAAGGAGCGGAACACGCCCCTCGTCAGCCTCGTCTGTTTAGACTTTTCCAACTGCCACTTTTAAGCTGTCATTAAAGACCTGGGGCGCTCCCCAAAGGTCTGGGGCAAGTCCGCGCCGGTCTAGCCAGCCCCGGGAAAGTGCAAGAAAGAAAGACTGGGAGGGGTTGGTGGGAGGGGAGACGTGGGAAGAGCAGCTTTCCGGGACCCCAGGGACCCACTCGCTACCCACTCGGGCCGCCGTCCTCCCTGCCCCAGAGCAAAATGACACAACACCCCGGGGCAAGGAATGCCTAGGTTGGCACCAAAGCAGCGCGGATCCCTAAAGGACAAGCCGGAGAGCCGGCTGTTGGAAAAAGTGAACTTGGGCTTGGGTCGCCCCCGCTCTAGCCACAATTCCGGCAATTTGGATCTCGAGCGCGCTCTCACTTTTAAGTTTGCCAACTGCCCTGCATTCGCCCTCGGGGCTGCGCTGCCTCCGGCGCGTGGGGGCGGGCACCTCGGAAACTGGAAAGACAGCCAAAGAGCTCGCTGGGTCCCGCTTTCCCATAGGAGATACTGTCCCACTTCCAGCCAAACCCCCGCCCTTGGCGCGCCCAGGCTCTGGGCACGTCTTCGCGTCACCACCTCCCGTTCTCTCCCGGCCCTGGGGGCCAGTGCCCTAGTGCCAACCGGACCTTAACTGCTCTTTGGTGGCAATAGCCAGGGCGGTCTCCAGAGATGAGCGGCATCCTAACTTTCTCCAGCTCCTCAGGATGCCCAACTGTCCCCAGGCTCTCCAGCGAGGTCTGAGACTCAAGGCCGTGGAAAACCAATGGAGCCAGATCTCAGCAGTGAACCCATGTGCCAGGCCTGGCCTCCCTGGAGGCAGCCTCACAGGGTCCTTGCGTTCGTCATTGGAATTTGCCTCTAAGTCTCAATGTGGCTGTGGGGAGTTCTGTCTCAACTATTTGTTCCCTCTTTCCCTGTTGCCTATCTTGTTTTGTTTTTTCAGGGCGTTTATCATTTTGTGCCTCAATAGAAACCAGCCATCACAATGTAATTTACAAGGAATGTTAAGTAAGAAGAAAGAAAAGCTAAGTCCGGGCAGCGTGGGCATCCGAGAGGGAGATGACAGGGCCTTCTCTGCAGCCTTCTTTCGTCGCCCTCTGAGAGAGCCTCCTTAGCCCTGGACACCACAGAGCGTTGGGGAAGCCATGCCAGGTGTGAAACAAGTTGTAACAAGTCCCTGCCTCTCAGGTTTCCTCAAGCTCCTCGGGGAGACACACACACACACACACACACACACACACACACACACACACACACACACAGACGCCCACGCGCCCTCTCATCACAGACAAACTACATCTGTCCGAGGAGGAGGAGAGGGTCTTTGGGGTTGGACTTCTAGGGACTACTTTCCCAGGTCCTACTAGAGAGGTGGTCGGATTTGTCACAGCGTTCTGTTCGCCCTCTTAGCCCCTGGAAACATGTTGTGAGATGCACTACCTTCCCAGACCTGGGAGCAGTGGGCGGCTAAGCGGACACACATGGCCCCGGAGCTCAGCTCATGAGCCTGCACATGCTAGTCGCACACCGCTTCTTCTGGAGAGCGGACCTTTGATCCCGGGATGCTGTCAGATTGTTGTAATCTCTGAGAATTGCTCGGGTGCTGAGACCTCAGTTGGGCCGGGGGCAAGTCACCTTACTACCAGTGGCTTTGATCTCTAGACTTGCCATGAACCAAGGGTCCTTCACCCTAGCTCGGGGACTGCGCCTCAGACTTTGCCAGGGGATCCAGCTCCACGCTTGGGCCCACAAGGGAGTAGCTCTCCAGATCTCCCCTTTTTGCAGCAGACCGGCTACAACCACTCTCCAACCCGCTCCCACGCAGACACCGGCTCCACTCCCCTCTGGGGGAGCTGCTTCCAATTGCTCGCAGTTTGCCGGAGGCAGTATGCTGGATTGGACGCTCCGGGGAAGCAAAGCAACCAGAAACAGCTCCCAGTTGACGTCAACGTATTTCCAGAAAAGAAAATAGTTTTGTGTTCCCAGGACAAAATACCCCCCAGGGCAAGTCCCTACTGGCAAAAGCCAGGCGGTGGAGGTGGGAATGGCAGGGCTAAAGAGGGGGAAATGCCACCCAGGCACGAATCACTTTTTAACGGACTTGGAGAAACAGCAGTTTCAGAAACTGCCTCGACGTTTTTGGAACAACGGGCAGGACCGAACTTAAACTAGGGATGAAAAACACACCTTGGAAAGTATGAATTGGTCTGATTGTCGCAGGACTGTTTATCCACCTCCTAGCATCGCATCGGCTTCTGCCCCGCAACCAAAATTTTGTACCTGTAAGGATACTTCATCAAATACTAAAAAAACCTCGTCAGGCTAGTAACCAACATGGTTACCAGGCAGAACTGCCAAACAAAACCAAACAAACACAACGAGAAATATGTGCTCTTTCTCCACTGCTCCCATCAAATGAAAGATAAGGAGGAAAGGTTGCTTAATTGTTAAAACCCAGTAACATAAAATTACAGTTGAACTCATAAAAGGGTTCAGTTCCAGGTTTATTAAATGATCTTTTACATATACTCAATTTGAAATCGAAATTTTTTAAATGCCCTCTTACTATTTTTGTAGAGGCAATATTATTTGTTTAGCCTCTCTGTTTTCTAAGTCCTTCACATCGTGGAGTCTATTCTGCTCACCATTTAAACTGTGTGAGAGATGTGGTTTCTGTATTACAAACAGCAATCCAGTTCAGTGTGGAACTTTTGCTGCAGCCATCAACTTTTAGATTCTTCACCGTAAGCCACCTGAAGATCTGAGCAGCTTCCACAAGATGGTTTGTCCACATGAGCTGTCTCTACCAACATCACCAGAAAAGACCACTCCTGTATCTGTTTCCCTGTCTCAGAAAGTAGAGACAAGGTGATTTGGGGAGGAGATCATCCCAGCACCCCTCACACACCTGCTTTATAAACAACCATGGATTCCCATTCCAGATTCTCATATTTTTGTTGGCAATATCAATTAGGAAAACCACCAGACAAACTCTTCCAAAAGCCATCAAAATGTTCACACTCCGACTGAGCTATCGCTTCCAGCCTTCTCAGGCTCATCTGCTAGGAACTCTGTCTAAGTGCCTTTAGTGCCATGCTTCCTCTACTAACCCAATATACCTGAGTGTCCCAGCACGCTGCCCAGAGCAGGATGAGCTCTCCAGCCATTTATTACAAATGAATGAACACGTGAACAATCAGGGTAGCATTTAGTCCAATCCTATATTTACTGGAATTTTTTAACTTGAAAAAGCTAATGAATGATATTCTACAATTCAAAAGCAGGACAAAGAAGAATGACTAGACACCACCAGTTCCTGGGAGCTAAAGAGACTTCAGGGACTGCTTTGGGTTAATATGTCCACCATCAGATTTTTTCTCTGGTGGAACGTTTTGTAGAAAGTGATTACAGCAGTAGAGGAAGGGACCACCTCCCCCGACCCAGTGGAGTCAGTTATTATGGACTCTTTGAAGAGAGGGCTAGGGAATGGAGGTGTCTGTGTGTTGTGAGAGGTGAGTTGAGGGGATTTACCCTGGTAAACCCACAGGATTTTGTAGGCTCTTGGGCAGAGGCCAGAAAAAGCATTTAGTTAATCACTTTAAAGAAACAAATCAAAAGAGAAAACCATGCTCTCTTGATTTGATTACTTAAGGATTCATAAAGTGATTTTGAGGCTAAATATGAATTCAAATCGAAGCTATTTTGACATGTCTTTCTTTTCAATTTCACTATTAATTCTGTTGCATTCAATTGAAGATCATCTTGAGTAATGTTTTTTGAATTCAGATGAAGTTTGAACTCATGTAATCTAACTCTACAAAGTGGCAGAGAAATAACTCTGAAAGGACAAAAATATGTCTTGTGACTGTAACCCCATTTATTTTCCCCAAATGTTTTAGCAAGATGGCTGGCATATAGTAAACACAATAATTGTGCACGTGCTCACGTGTAGGGAGAGAGATGCTAATTGCAGACTGTGGAGCAGAACGGCTGAAAGCCTCTGTCTGAACCCAGGTTGTGGTGGGGTGCATTTTACCTTCCAGCTGCTTTTTTTTTAATGCCTCAATCTCCTTATTCTATGTTCTGGGACACAACATTTGGTTGTTTTGAAATTTAAATAAGTTAGTATGCATCCAAGCATTTAACATGGTATCTGAAACATTAGTAAGCATTTAACCATTGGCTCATTTTGTTTTGTTTTATTTTTGTTGTTGTTTTGAGTTTTGAGACAGGGACTCCTGCTGTAGCTCAGATTGGCCCCAAACTCAAGATCCTTCTGCCTCGGCCTCCCAAGTGCTGGAATGCCACATATGCTGAACCGCACAAGGCTATTTATTAGCTATTAAAACTCCAATATTTTCCCACATTTCTTTATACACAAGAAAACCAAGGCTGTGGTGTGTAGTTAGTGAAGGAGCACCAGCTTGGCAGGCAAGAGGCCCTCAATTTGGTCCCCAGCACTGCAGAAACATTGAAAACAGAAGTTAAAAAGTTAAACCATGTGGCCCAGGTCTTCCAGACTTCACTAGCGTAGACAAACTGGTTCCATAGCACATGACCAAACTTCTTGACCACTTCCAGCCTCTAAGGAAACAAAGAATAATCTCTCTCTCTCTCTCTCTCTCTCTCTCTCTCTCTCTCTCTCTCTCTCTCTCTCTCTCTCTCACACACACACACACACACACACACACACACACACACACACACAAAAATCTCTCTCCGACCCACACACTCTCACACACAGTGTCTCTTCTACTCTCTCTCTCTCTCTCTCTCTCTCTCTCTCTCTCTCTCTCTCTCTCTCTTTCTTCTCTCTCTCTCTCTCTCTCTCTCTCTCTCTCTCTCTCTCTCTCACACACACACACACACACACACACACACACACCACTCACTCTCAAGGAAACGATTCCCTGCCACTCAAATTTCTTTGCCTGTGACTTAGGGATTTGGGGAGGCAGGATGCCGCTAGGCTGAGGTCCTGGACTTCAAGTACTGTAGAAACAGTCTAAGCACAGCATAATCTTTGCCAGACAGTGGTTCTATTTTACTAGCTTATTGGAAGTAAAGACACATTTGTGTTTTAGAGGAATTTGGAGACAAAAGGAATGCTCCCTCACCCAACCAGATTAGCCTGCAAACCCACCAAGTCCCGGGCTCTTCTGTGTGCATCTTTGGAGGGCAAGGTAGAATATTGCATATTTTTGTCTTTGATTCTGTGCCAGAAAAACAGGTCACAGTAAACTCAACACAGTGATTGATAGGAGTAGAATGTTTAGATTCTAATTACTACCAGGTGACTGTAGCTCTGGACTTTTCCAGCTAAGTACATATCTACCAGTTTCCTGGGTGCTTTTTTAAATGAATAATGTACAAGAGGAGTGTGGTTTTCCATAAGCAAATTGTGTGTTTGTGAAATCTGAAAATGTGCTGTCTCCCTTTGTTATAATATCCTGGCAATAAAATGTCACTTGGCCAATAAAGCATTCAAACGTAAAGATAGTCAAACCTACTATTAACAAGGTGTGCCACTTCCTTATCTTCCAGCTGTGCCTCTACAGAGTCCACTGAAGCATCCGTCAGTTCTGCTGTTAAGAAATATGTATTTTCATTTCATCGCAATACTAATGAAAGTGGAAGAAGAGCTAATGAGTTCATTAATGTCATGAAATAAATGTTTTTGAGTAATGGGGTTCTTTATAATGGTTTCAGTATATAAATTATTTCTGAAGCTATTTGCTATGTTCAAATAGCTTATTGAACTAGGGAGATCAAAACAAAATGAACAAAATTAAAAACAATATGTTGATATAAATTTTTTTCATGTTTTTTGTCATTATCATCAAGGTAGGACAGCCTCTTAAGAAAAATGACCGCAAGTCGTGAAAATGTTCATAGTCTTTGGCCAAGAAATCACTTCCAGAAGGCCATTTTCTTAAGAAATATCTTGTTTTATTTCTATTTAGTTTCATTTGGTTTATTGTGTCTAGGCCATTTGGACTAACCGGTTCTGAAGTTTATGTTCAAAGTGTATTCCACAGTGTTTTTTTCATGATGTCTCGGAGGCCTGACTTCTTTGACAAAAGTTCAAAAAGTATTCCTAAATGAAGAAGGAAACATACTTTCTCAGTAGCCTCGTCAGGCACCTCTTGGTGACTATTGATAATAAAACTGAAGATAAAAGGATATTAAATAAAAGGGCTAAATATTAATGATACGTCCAAAGCTCTGAGGCGGTTCAAGGCCCAGCATCTGAAGCTCCAGAGAGCAGAACTGGTATCAAGGTGTTTGGTGGCACCTCACAGGATGTGAGGAGGAGTCGGTATGTACCTGCCCTGTGGCTGTGTTTCTAATGAACTAAAAAAGAAAAAAAAATCCTCTTTTAAATACCCAGAAGCACTAACCCACATTTTGAACTAATTGACTTACTTTTTTCTTAGAAAAGCTTAATTTAACCAATAGGGGCACGTGGGTCTATCTGAATATTTAAAGAAGCCCTGGGATGAGTTTGTTCCATTTCTTCAACTTGATGCTGGGGATGCTTCACACCTGCCAGAGAGGACTGCGGTAGAGAGGGGCAGGAAACCAGAAACACTGTGTCCGGCCTCTCCGTCCTGTGAGCCACATGTGCAGAGATGGGGCAGCGTTACTACGGAGGAAGAGTCTTAGCTCTTCACGGTTACTCTTTCTACAGTCTGTCTTCTGACTGACCCATCCCAGGATCGCATGTGACTCTCCGAACAGAACCAGACTCCTCTAGTATTGATGGCATCCACTTTGCTATCATTTCTGTCTTCGGCCCTTCCCTGAAGTTAAAAAGCACAAAGCAGGACTGGGGTTTATCATTCTTCTCTGGCTAAAGATAAAATGAACAATTTCATAGGAATCTAACCTGGGTAGGGGTGTGTGTGTGTGTGATTTCTGGTTCATACTTAGGGAGTGTTTGCTGAGGGTCTCAGCTTGGAGTACGGATTTCTTTCTTACAAATACACGTGAAGCTGGTCCCTGTGTTACACACGAGTGGAAACCTGAAGGGCTTAAATAACTCCTCCCACATCTTCCTAGGCAGTTAGTCCAACTCCAGAGCACACATACTTTCTAAACAATTCTCTAGGCCAGTCTCTTTTCATCCTTTTTCTGTTTTTTTACGGTGTGTGTGTGTGTGTGTGTGTGTGTGTGTGTGTGTGTGTGTGTGTGTATTCCAGTATATTCCCACAGATTCAACTGCACAGAGTTTACTGTTTAAGTTCTAAGTATTAAATATTTAAACTTTCAGAAGTCACAATATGCCATCAGTGGATGCTATGGTTTGAATGAATCTTCCAAATTTTATGTGCTAGAGACTTAATCCCTAAAGTGATATGTTAATGACACTTGAGAGGTGAGACCTTTAGGAGAGGACTGGGTCACGAGGGCTTGGCCCTCATGGACCTATTAATCCACTCAGGGATTAATGGCTTAATGGGTAATGGAGGGAGTGGCTTGGTCATAAAGCCTGTTCTCTCTGGCACAGTTACCCTCTCTTGCATCAGACACCCTGTGCCTCTTCAGGCTTCTGCATCGTCCTTACCAGCTAAAAGCTTCTCACGAGTTTGCCCTTCTTACTGCTCTTAAACTTCCCAGCTTCTAGAACTGCAAGAAATAAATCTCGTTCCTTCGTCAATGGCCTGTTCTGTGAGGTTCCATGAGAGAAAACAAACTATAATGATGGATTTTTGGTAAAATGTACCAAGCACATGGTAAAGCAGGTAGGAAGGGGCCGTGTTCCAGGAAACACATCACCTGGCACTAGAGAGGATGTGGCTTAGGTAGGCTGGTGTGTTTATTAATAGTTTTTTCTTAGGCCTTTCTTCTGGCTATCCTCTTTCAGCGTGCCTTTGAAGGGCTCCCATCCTGGAAAGCTGTTTTGAGTTACTGGGATTTGAAGACAATATCCAAGCCAGGCTCCTTCTGCAGCCGTATGGTGACATACAGGAGACAACATTTAAGGGGATGACCATGGAGAGAGAGGACTAGGAAGGAGGAGCCTGGAGTCACTCCCAGTTTGGTACATTTAGGGGATTGGTAGCTTTTTAGGGCTTTTTAGACCTTAGCACCATGTTTTTGGTGACTAATATGTATTCTAAATTCATAGTTAATTTAGCTTTCTTAGAACTGTGTGTGTGTGTGTGTGTGTGTGTGTGTGTGTGTGTGTGTGTGTGTGTGTATTCAGGCCAGAGGTCAGATTTAGGTGTCATTCATCAGGTCCTGTTCACTTTGTTTTTTGAAAAGGGGTGTTTCACCGGCTAGGAATTCACAGAGTAGGCTAGGTGACCGGTTGGGGCATCCCAGGTATCCACGGGGTTCTGCCTCTTCACTGCTAGAATTAGCTATAAGCAGGCTATACCACATCTGTCTTCTTTCTTTGGGTTCTGGGAACTGAACTTGCAAGACAAGCGCTCCGCCAACTGAGCTGTCCCCCAGCCCAGGCGTTGCTGGCTTTTAGATTTGGAGCCCAAGGCAGCATCAGAATCTCCCATTCCCCTGGAGAACTTGTTTAAAAATGCAGATTCTCAGGTGTCAGCTCCAGAGGTCAGGAATGTGGCTCAGGGACGTGCACGCCACACTCAACACAGACAATTTTAATGCCAGTCTGACCCCACCACAAGAAACACTGCTTCTAAAGCTAATATAATTTATTAAACCAGAAAGCAATTTCCTTTCCAGCAATGGTAACTAGCCACATTGGAACTGTGAATCCCCTGGAAAATGGGATGAAAATTATGAAACCTCTTCCTTAGAAGATCCACATGCTGAACCAATGTGACCTGTCAATCATTTAAGGGAAGTGGGAATGGCTGGGGTCAAGGCTGCCTAAGCCCTGATTTTCAACAGCACTGTAGTACATGTCTTCTCCTGTCCCCAACGTTAGCATGTTTCTTTTCTTTAACTCCAAGCCTAACTTCTCCAGGATTTAGCCCTAGTCTAGTCACTCGGCATCCTCTGTGGGATTTCCCTGACACTCGTCTCTCCCGGGTAAGAGAACTCCAAAGAAAAAAGGCTAGAAAGTCCACATACTTGGCCAACTCATGGCTGGCAGTTCCAACTGATCCTGACACTTGCCTGGACCTCCAAATGGCCCAGGAGGCCGATGGGAACTGGGAGTGCCGGGCCTTCTCCTGGTGTCTGATGGAGCCAGACCCAGGTAGGACAAGGGGGTTTACATTCCCAGGGACTGCTGCTGACTCCCCACTTCATTCTTGAGAACCACAGGCCAAGGAGAAGGTGGATACACATAGCTGCTCTGGTGTGAGTGTCATGTGTCCCCTCTGAAGCACTGGTGGATATTTGACTGTTGTTGCAATGGTGTTGGAAGGTGGAGCCTTGATGACTGATCATCTGGAGGAATTGCCATAAGGTCTGCAGATGTAACTCGGTAGTAAGTGCTTACCTTACATGGCCCATGTTTGCTCTCCAGCACTGTGAACCAGAGGAGACATTAATACCTTTCTCCAGGGACTACATTAGTTTCTCCAAGATTGGGTTGTTACATAGTGAGGCCACTGTGTGTGTGTGTGTGTGTGTGTGTGTGTGTGTGTGTGTGTCCCTTCTGTACCAACCTGCTTGCCTTTCTGCTCTCTGTCATGAGTTGAAGTAGGCCCATGCCATCACCTTGTTTGTGGGGTTCCCAGCCTACAGGGTCATGAGCCAAAATAAATGTCTCTCCTTGAAGTCATCTTCTTGAAGGTATTTTGTAACTGCAGCAGATAATGGGCTGAGACAACACCCAAAAGAATGACTCAGCAAAGGAGGGACAATGGGGTAAGGGTCAAGGGCGCAAAGCTTCCTCGGGTTGGCACGGCAGGACTATGGTAAAGTGTCTTTCATGCCACGTCCATGGCTCAGCTAGTGTGGGAGAAGCTGGGAGGATGTCGAAATCTGAGTTGGCCCTGCCCTAAAACACCAGTTTTGTTTTTTGTTTTTTCTCATTTCTCCTCTGCTGATCCACATTGCCTTTGTTCTTTTATTGATTTATTTTTACATTTTTATTATCATTTTATTTTATGTGTGTGGGTGTTCTGCTTGTATGTATGTCTGTGTACCATGTGAGTGCCTAGGGTTCATGGAGGCCAGAAGAGGGTGTTGGGGCCCCTGGAACTGGAGTTACAGAGAGTTGTGAACTGCCATGTGAGTGCTGGGAATTGAACCTGGGTCCTCTGGAAGAGCAGCCAGTGTTCCTGACTTGCTGAGCCATCTCCTCAGCCCTGTCTTCATTCTTTAAAAAAAAAAAAAAAAAAAAATTGTTTTAATTGTGTTTATTTAGTGTTGGGGGGTGGGTCATGTGAATGCACGCCAGGGTATACGTACGGAGGTCAAAAGAAGAACTTGTAGGGCCAGTTCCTTTTCCACCATGCAGGTCTCAAGGATAGAATGCAGACTGTCTAGAATGCAGGCTGCCGGACTCAGCAGCAGGCACATTCACCTGCTGAGCCATGGCACTGGGTCCTACTTAGTTCTTTAGTTCCCTCAGGCCTC